GTGGCTGCCTGGCCCCTCGGCTCGCCGGTGGCATGGGCAGCGTGGGCAGCCTGGTGGAGAGGCAGGATCTGTCGCCCGTGGAGCTGCGGACACCCCTGGGCGGCGTGCGGGGTCTGCGGCAGCCCGACGGCCTGCTCCGGAAGGGCCTGAGCCAGCGCGAGCTCCTGGGCTACCTGCACGGCCCCCGGCGTGAAGCGCGGCCCGAACGCAAGTGCCCGGGGGGCTCCTGCAAACGGGACTATGAGAGCGACCGCGAGAACCGCTCGCCCGAGCGCAGCCCCCGCGGGGCCGACTTCTCCAAGAGCTCACTGCCCGAGCGGGGCCGCTTCGACAAGGTGGGCCGGACCGGGCTGGGGCAGTGCCCGTGGGTGACGGGTGTCTGCTGGGGGAGGACATGGCCACGGGTCACAGCAATGCTTCCCCCGGTGCCTCGAATGCACCCGTGTCGGGAGCAGCGGGACGGGGCTCGTGGGTGCCGGTCTGCGGGGGCAGGCGCTGCCCTTGCATGTCCCGCATCCCTGCGGCGTGGCAGAAGCTGAGACCCAGAGGTTGGAAGGGTCTCCGGGGAGGTCCTTCCACGAGGCCTGGGGAGGGCTCTGGCTGGGCCACAGCCCTGGGGCTCTCCAGAGGCGGCTGACCCCGGCTCTTGTCTTGCAGTGCCGCATCCGGCCATCGGCCTTCAAAGCGGTGGCAGGGAAGGGCCTGGTTTCCATGCAGGGCCTGTCTGCGTCCAAGGGGCAGAAGCTGTCCAAAAGTAACGGGAGCCTGCACACGCTGCTGTCACTGAGCAGCTCCGGGCAGCCTGGCCCGCTGCGCACCCACCTGCTGCACGCCATCAGCCTGGACGAGGGCTCCGCTGCCGGCTGCGGCTCCTCGCACAACTTCTCCTCCTACGTGCCCCGCTTCAAGCCAGCCCCGGGCCAGCTCAGCGCCTCCGTGGGCCACATCAACCACATTGGGGGCTCTCTGGACAGGGCTTCGCGGGGCCCCAGGGACCCCCTGCGACCGGAGCCGGTGCCGCTGCCCTGCAAGAGCACAGCTACGCTGAGCCGGCTGCAGAGCCCCGGGGACCCGCCGCCACCCTACGAGTTCACGTTCTCCCTGGAGGACGTGGTAAAGCAGCTGGAGGACCGACTGCAGGAGAAGGGCGGGGAGCTGCGTCAGCTGAAGCGCAGCCTCAGTGAGACCGAGGACCCCTTCACGCAGGTGAGGGCAGGTGGAGGAGCGGGGCAGGCGGTGCTGTGTCCCTGCCCCGGCAGGCAGCTGGGCGAGGGGTCTGGCAGCCGGAGCAGAGCAGGGGCCGCTGGTGGAGGGAGCACGCCCCCTGCCCTGCACCAAGCCGGGGGGTAGCAAGGGCCCGCCGCGGCCCTGCTGCGCTGGCTGAGAGGGGGCCTGTGGCCTGGGAGGAGCTCCGGGAGCCTTACACCCATGGGGGCAGGGGTGGGGTCTTGGGGCTGCTGGAGGGGCTGGGCTGGCAGACCTCCCCTGGCTGCCAGCACCCAGTGCCACGTGCCGGCAGGGGGTTTGGGGCCAGCAGCGGGCGGGGGAGGGGGGACG